ACAAGTGAAGGTCTGACATATGGAACAGGATATGAAAAACGTAATCAAAAATTGTCGGTACACTGTAAAATTCAATTTCGTTTGCTCGATATCAATAGTAATGCTTTCATTGTAAAAGTGCGTAGATAGCAAAATTGAAAAATTTAACTATATAAACGCTTATATTTATATATAAATTTAATGAACAATTGCGAATTTAGAAGTGGAAAATGTGAGGATATTTAAAATCTAAAAGAAAAAGAAAATAGCAAAGAATAATTTTTGTTCCTCCAAAATAAGAGAATATTTTCTTTTTATTACTTTATATATTTTTTACTTTTAAATCTGACAATTGGGCTTAATATATTGACATTTCAAATTCTTTTTCTCGCTAATACGAATTTCTCAATTATTCTTACATGGTTTTTGATAGGAAAAATAGGAACATATTTTCGTATTGAATACTTTTGTAACAAATTGCCATGTATCTAACGTAAAAGTATGAAAGAGTTTATTTTGTGCTTGGAAAAATTGCAATTATAAACGAGATCTCTCGTCAGTGTATAGAAGTCGCTTCTTTCACGATAATGTATCATGAAGACGCGCGAGGTGACATTAACGGTCGGTGAAAATAACAGCGTTACTGTCGTGGAAAATAGGGTACCTCATCGGCGGCGCGCTTAAATCACATCGCAATAAATTTGCATGTCGCATATTGAATAGCATTTATCCGGGCAGAGCGAAGCCGGCGCGAAGTGCCGCTGGCCGATTCGCCGATTTAACAAATCGCGAAAATGTCAGCGACTCGACGAGTAGGTCGTTTGCCCTTGTAACACCAGGTACTTTCGACTTTGGTGAGAACGGCGTGTATCAACCGGTTCGCAAAAGGATCTCGCTTGTGTTCGGCCGCGCGTGTTTCCCTGCCACGCGCGCAATTATTACGATGTAACTTTCAGCGCGGCCGCGTTCGATTCGAGAATCTTTCGTATTCTCCTTCGTATTCTTTCGTATTCTTTCGTATTCTCTTTCGTCAACTCTTTGGGATCCTTTTCTTCATCCAGCCGCAAATTGCGCGCACCGCCCCTACAGGTTGTCCATCCAATTTACGCACTTCCGAATCGTATTCTTTAAAGCGTATACTTATCGAAAGTTATCGGTTATTAGGATTTACGAGCTTCGAAATGAGACCATTCCTGCGTCTATGTCATTTTCGCTGTTTCGAAACGACGGTGTATTTGTCTTTTTTTTACAAAAAATTATGAATACGTCTTTAAGTAACCCGAAATTATATCAAGTGTTCCGATTCGAATCGCACGGATCGGCTATCCGAAAGTACGAGGTGCTCACATATTTCTACATAAAGACGGAGAAAGTTTTCAGTCTTTTTTTAAATTTCTTGCGCGGTTTTTTTATATGCCATTTCTCCAAAATCATACGTTTGATGCGAACTTGATAAAAATTACAAAACTATATCCTATGGCCAGTATACACTCGTTCTTTTTTGTTCCGTAAAAAAAAATTAATATTTCGAAAAAATAGCAAATCTGGAGACTTTCTTAAGTCCTTATGTAAATGTAATGAATCTCGATGATGGCCGAGTAAAGTTGATCGCGAAACTCTCGATATCGCGAGAACGGTAACTCGAGCACGCGAACGGAGGATTCTCCGGTCGCGGAGTGGAGCAGAGAGGAGGAAGATGCACGTGGTGAAAGTACATAGAGACGAGAAGGCGGCAGAAGCTGTGGGAGAAAGGAATAATTACGGTTTATGACACTGAGTGTCGCAACGGAAGGGACTGGTATGCGTAATGCTTCTTACGCGTCCTTCATTATCCGTTTAGTTCCGCACAGTTAGTAGTAATACGTAATATATTCGACTTTTACGAAGTAGAATGTTCTCTTGTTCTTTTTAACAAATATGAGATCAATTTTAGAATTATCGGATTTATGACTTTTTTCTTTCGTCAGTCTTGGAACAATTTTTGTTAAATGAACGATGTCGTAAAAAACTAGGGATATCGTAAACTTTATTGTTTGCTCATGGCCGGCTTTTCGCACTCTGTAATTTAAATAACTAAATTCTTTAAGCTAAGACCGTGCAAATATTTTTGAAATTAATCAAAGAATTTTTTCTTTTCACTTTTTTTGTTCCTGACATTTAAAGCTGCTTGCTTTCAATTCTTAGTTATTTAAAAATTATGAATATCTCGATATTTGTGTCCAAGAAAAATCAATTTCAAATTTATTAAAGAATCTACAATATAAAGCATATCCCGTCGGGATATCCTGTTGGAATACTTTTCATATCTAGTGCAATATCGAATATCTAATTTAAAAAGAAAAAGAATTTAAGACCAATAAAATCGGAATGCATTACAGAAAACGTATTAGCAGAATACATATGAGTTAAGTTTTGATACGGATTTTTACTGTCGTTAAAGAGTGAGTTCTATGGAAGTTGAAAAGAAAAAGCGTTTTAAGGATTTCGAAAAGTCACATATCTTGTACCTGACTCTCTCACGGAACTTGAACTCTGAGATATCTGGAAACTTTAGTAAGGATAACGCTGGCTACATCGTAAACCACCAATTTCTAACTGACAAACACGAAACTCGTTGCACGCGATTGTTAACTGCATCGGTTTACACTAAGATTACTGCATCGGGTTTTGTTTACGCGCTTTTTTTTATCGCAGAAACATTAAGATAAATAAGTAGTCTCGCGGCCGACGTTTTATCGGTATTTCTGAAAACGGCAAGGTGTGATCGAATTTGTTTAACGCTTCTTTCGCCGCGAAACTATAATTCACGCGTAAGTGTAATTAACGATTAGTCTGTGCTAATCCTAGAATACACGATCTTTCTGAGCTCTTGCAATATTTACTTTTCTTTTTGTATATTATCGAAACTTGCGATAAAATTTTTTTCTCTTTTTAAAATAATCTTTTTAATTTAATAAAAAATTGTAAAATATAGACATTGTGATATTGTTTTGTTTTCAAACATTTGCAAAAATGTCGCGTGACTTTTTTCCTGTTTTAGTCGCGTACAGAAAAATATGACCATCTTTGTCGAGATGGAATAAAATATCGAATGTTTGAAAATAAAGAGAATAAATTTAAAAAAAAAATACCGAATGTATTGGGGTAAGTAAAACAAATGTAATAAATGAACAAAATACATAAAGAATAAGTTTGCAAAAAAAGTTTTTTTAAGGGGAGATGTCAACAATCGTGCGTATTATTTTACAAAATATCTGCCAGATTTCGGAATATTATAAATAATTTTTTAAAATAGTGTAAATATACATAGTTTGGCGCGTTTGGTCCAAATTGACTCCATTTTGAAACAGTGTGATTCGGCCAATCGTGATCTGCGATCACGTGAGCCGATAGACACACACACATACACACACATACACACACAATTGGCTTATGTAGTTCGGCAACTAGACGCAAAGCGGACGGTCACGTTCTTTTTTTTTCTCGGTTTCGTGGTGGTTTATAAATAAACGATACTTCGCAGCTTCACGTGTTGCCGTCGAAATTATGCTCACACACGATGAGCATTTCGTGTGGAGCACTTTAATTGCGTTGTGTATTCACAAGCATGTGATAATCGTCAGCTTTCGATCACGTTCGTTTACGGCAAGAAATTAGGAAAGACAACGACGCCATAGCCGAAGCGGTAGAACGTGTTGCAGAAAATCTTCTGATATTTGGCACAAGAAGAGTACAAAGCAGTGTACAGGCAGAACAATTGTTTTCGAACAGCGAAAAGCGAAAAAGCGGATTAAAGTCTATGGTTCGTGAAAAAGTTTAGAATAAATAAAAAAGATTTCTGAACATTTAAAATGGCGATTGTATCAGTTAATTGTGTACACGCGCGACACTGAAAGATTATGTGTACACATTTTGGATTTGTGTTAAGGATTTAAAAATAAATTCTGAACAATGATATATATACATAGGCGAAGCATTTGTATATTTTTCATTTAGCGTCGATCTTTGACTCGACGAAACGAATACTATCTTAGCCTTAAACTGCTAATTTCAGGACTTACAGTAGCGGTCAATGAAATGTACTCACCGAAATTATTGTTTTCTTTAAACTCTGAAGCAAAGCACTGTACAAAATCGTAAAATTTATATTAAATGGCATTATTAACGACTGATAATTTTGATTAGAACATTTTAGTTGAATTGTTTTAATATATTTTTACATATTTATAAAAACAGGACAATATACAATAGAAACAATACTTGCTTAATAAATTTGTATTTTACACGTATAACAATAACAATTATAGGAACAAATAATTAATTATAACAATTATTAATATTTTTTGATAATAACTAATATTTTGTGATAATTGTGATTTTTCACTTTCGGTCATTTTTCGGTGATTTACCATTTTTATAAATACTGCACTTTTGAAAATAAGCTTGAACTAATTCCTAGCTCGTGTTAATTATATACTCAAATAAACCTCATTTAATTCTTCCCACCTTTACAGTACTTATCAAAGACAGGTCATTTCGAAGAATCCTGCTGGGTACATTTTATTGACCACCATTGTATTCGATATCATATTGAAAACGTCACGTTTAGGAACGCTTGGTCTATACATTTACGTTGTTTGTCTTAAAATATCTATTTTGAAAAAAATTTCAAGATTCAATAGCTACTTTTTAATTAGCAAGGCGTATGATAGCGATTGCTAACTTCCTATCTTAAGCTTGGCTTTAAAATTTTCATTCTTTCAGATGCAAACACGGTTGGAACAATGCAAACGTAATAATAAATGTGTGTGAGTTGAGTTCAACCGCTATCGAATCGCAACCCCGATCGTGTGAATCATAAAAAAATCGCTCCGCTAAATAGGCCTTTACTTTCGCGCGCGGCGCGACGCTCCAGCAGGAATATTCCGTTTGTTTACGTCAAAGACAGCCTTCGCGCGCGGTCTCCGAGCGGGTGGGAGAGAAGCAACGGCGTGGAGGAGAGGAAAGGAGGGACACACAGAGAAAGACGGAGACGAGAGATCGCTCATGCGATTCTCGGCTGCGCTCGGCGCACTTTCACTCAAGTTGACTTCGACTTGAGCCGCGCGCGATTTCGGCGGCGGTGAATCGCAACAGATTTCGCGCGTGCAATCAACGACACAGAACTGATAAAAGTAACGTATCACGATTGTAGCGACAGGAAGCGGGAGGCGCGTAAGCCGCGCGCGAACGTCTCACGAATCGAGGAGCGATCTCTCGGCGTCGCGTTTGTGTTGCGTCTTCTGCTGCTGTACGCGGTGAGGTAGGGGGGATTGACAGGCGGCCATGTTTGGTAGCGGTGACCGCACGTGTTGACGCGGCCAGTTGCAGTCTCGCGGCCAGATGGAACACGTGTATTGATATTTATGCACCCGGTGGTGTGGCGGTTTAAACTTGAGAAACGCTAATTCTGCCTGCAGGTATAGCGAAGGACGGCAAGGACGAATGGGCTAAAGGTGCTTCCGAACGGGCCGACGAAGCGACGTCGCCGTCGCGACGCCACATCTGGTGATCCAAAGTTGGTGTAAGATAGGAGAGGGGAGACATCGTGGCGCTCGCGCACGCGTCTTGATCAGTCAACCGGTGGTGAACATCATCTGGCCGCTCCGACTCAAACTTGGATCAGACTCGATTCACGGGAATCGCATTATCGTCGCCGGAATTGTCCGTGTGTCCTTCGCGGCGAGTTTGTTTACGCTGTGATACGCCTCGTGCCATCGGCTGGTGATGTTGTGCGCGTCGCGTTATAATAGAATTTCACCGCTTCGAACGATCGTCTTTTCTCAGTATTTACAGCTGTCGGTCGCGTGAAATCGAAGTGAAGTCGCGGAAATTTAAATGGATATTTATTTGGGCGTGCGAGTTTTAGTCTAGCGTATAGCAGATTTCTCGCGTGTCATAGGACAGAGAAGTGTGACTGATCGACAAGAACTTGTCAAAGTATAATTTTTGAAGTTCGTCAAGAGGAAGTATTCGCATGAATATACTATTGAACTGACGAGGCGAAGAAGAGGGACGACATCAAAGAGGAGGATTTATGGAAGAATAAGACATATCGACTGCACGACTTTTATGTCATCGTAAAGTGAAGCGTGCACTTTTTCGCGTTTTTTATTCGAAATTAATCTTTCTATCGTGAAGAAATTGTTAAACAGTTTTTTTCCGCGAGTTTATTTGTAAATAAATCGCGCGTAAATATACGCGAGTGCGGTGCTCGATTTTGATCATTGTTATCATCATCGTTGTCGCCAACATCACCGGAACGATGTGTCGCATGTGTAACGACCGTCGAGGTAGATTATCATCGCGACTGTCGGCAGTGTATTATCGGTGGTGAATGGAGAGAGCTAACAACAGTGGATCAGATCACACGAACAACTGATGCAGTGATGCAGTGCCGTAGTGTTAGTGACCAGTGCCACGTGCCCGTTGTTTGGATTACTTGAAGATGCCTTGAAGATGTCCGGCGGCGGATATTATGACGACAGGAATCCTTTGCTCAAGGGCAACCTATCGAGGTGAGTACAATTTACATTATTTCGACATAACTATTGACATATGCTGACGTTTAGATATATTTTGAAATCTTTCCTTAAATATAGATGTTTTATATCACTCATTTTACATAAAGTATTGAATTTAATCTAAAAATATATTCATATTAGCATAAGTGGTGGCGTGGAGCTGTGGCCTAGCAAGTTAGAGTTGGCGAGTTTCGATCTCAACGACGTATTTAATATACAAATGACTATAAGAGAGATGAGAGCCAATTTTCTGTCTCAATTAATTCAATGTAAATTTTGCAATATCACTTTCGCTAGAGAACGTAAGAAGCGCTGAAAAAAAGAGTCACTTCTCGCGACCGCTTTCTCTTGTAAGACATGGCAAAACCTGTGAGCAGTATGAGATGCCCTGGTCCTCCAGGTTGGAGTGTTAAACATAGTTGAGGCGTTGGACTTAGCACTCTATCACTCGTAAAAAACGTGGAAATACTAAAAACACTTAGTTGTGCCTCGGAAATTAATTGAGTTTCAAATATTATCGAGGTAAATGCGGTACACATAGTCGTGTAAACAAGCACATTAGATAGTCACGCATTTAACACTAAATGTGTAGCGAGAACATTATGTACTAACATGTTTAACTGCAACATCTACAGTGGGAATGTGCTTTTCACTTTATAGTCACATGAAGTGATTCTTTTTTTCAGCGCTTTTCCTTATGTCGTTGTTCTTATGTTCTACTTACAATTAGTCGTTTCCGCGTTGAAAACACAAAACGGATTAAAGATATCTTTCGGAGGCGGATGTAAGCATAGTCATGTAGTTAAGTTGCTAATTAACATTTTAAGCATAGTAATATGTTAAACATGGTACTATATTATGATACCATGGTATCTGGATTGAGCGAATATTGGAGAAAAAATAAATTACGAAAATGAGAATAACGATATAAGCTTAAATCAACACAATTCTATATATAATATAGATCGTTAAAAGTTACCATTAATATTATTGATAGTTATTATTGACGTTGATTGATAAGGTTGCCATCGATTTATGGACATCGCGAGCTATATCATCGCACAATATGTCGATAATATAAATATATTTTTAGATTAAAGTTTTTAATACTTTATGCAAAGTGAGTGATATTAAATATTTATCACTTGAGAGATAAACGCTCTATTACAACTAGAACCCATAAAGCAGAATAAAACGGCTTTTAAACTCCATTCAATTCGTGCTTGTAATATTCATGTCTCGTCTCGTCGAGCATTTTCGGCGTACGGTTTGTAAAAACCGTGACCTTGATCAGTGCAACGCGTGTGCATCGCGTTATACTGGCGCATTTGTAATTATTATTCTTGATGCGGCCCTGTCAAATGCAAAATAGCGAACGAAGGGCAGTGTATATCGATATCTGTTTGACATGTGTTTGGTTTACGCACGCTTCTGTCGCTTGTGTGCACATCTGTGTGCGTAGTCTTGATATAACGGTCGAGTATGCAGGCGATTTCTTTTATTGATCTATGGTCAAAGACGTGAAAGCTATAGATTCAGATAAATTTTAGCTTTAAAAAATGAGAGAAAATTTCAAAGATATTAATTTTAAAACATTAAATTATATTAAAAATTATAGAATTTATTATTGATACATTATTCATGAAAGATATTAATTTCACTGATCTTTTTACTTACATGTGGTTTTTTTTTATTTAAATTTGCATCGCAATTTTTTTATAGACAGTATAGGTCAATAATTCACACACATACTCGCGCGGGCGCGAAAATATATTAGTCCATATATATATAAATAATATAAAATATTTGCTCAATAAATCGTCTTGTAAAGCGCGCGATGACTATGGTATCGCCGAGTGTCGGGTTCACATACAAGTACGCACATTTTGCACGTCAGCTCTGTTGTTAACGACGAGATATTCGCAACGACGTGCACACTGTATCAGCCAGCACTTGGAACAATACTCACGTAACGCCGTCACGGCTGTCCTCGAATTTCACAAAATAACGTAGAGGCTTACGCGTTGACTTATATTCAATGTAAACGTAATTAACGGCCGTGCAGCTGGTAGAATAATAATTTTACTGTTTGTACACCTTTCTGCTCGAAATACACACAACATTATCATGGTTGGTTCATTATCTGAAAAATATTTTTATACGTATCTCATTTATCTAATTTAACGATAAACCTGAAGTGATTTAATAAAAATGGCGCTGCATTACTCTTATTAAATTAATGCAGTATTGCTAACATTTGTAGAGTTACCTAATATTTACAATTCATTAATTAAATTCGAATTAATGATAATATATTATTAATAAGAATTGCTATGAAATATCCATCGTGGAAATTATGAAATTCGAGATAAAATTTGGTATTTAATCGCTTTTCCGGTGTTAGATAAGCTAGAATAATAAATGTGTTGATAACTTCACAACTATGAGGAATTTACGAATCATCGTGATGGAACGAAGAGAAAGTTGTCTTGAACGTAGCCAATGATAATAATAACGAGACAAGTTTGAGCGAGTTTTATTCTCGATTCCGCCGAAAGAACACTTTCGAGTGACGCGCCTGTCAATAAGAGTCACAGGCGTGGAGTTCCTTTCACCACTGTACGATCATCATTTCGCTTTGAAGGAAGTTTCTTCGAGACATCTTTCGTTTGGGCTTGACGTGAAAATGATCGACGTGAAAATGAGTTTTCGCCACACAATGGGTTAATTCTCTCAGTTGCATTTACGAAAGTATCACGATCGGTACGATTTCGAAAGTTTATAACTCTGCAATACAATTTAAAAAAGATATAATTATATTTACATTTCTAATTAGAAATTATTCCGTATTTATATATATATTTATTGCTGTATCCTTATTATAGTACTCGGTAGAGGACGTATTTATATTTGTCGAACAGGTAAAAATAAAATTTTTTATTAATCTCGTACGTTCCACAAGTAGCGATTGCTAAAATTCAACAATTCTTAATTATATTAATTTATTGGAATTGTTATCATATACTATAATTTAATATATAAATATTTTGATTGCTGTATGTTACGTATCGCAGGGTTAAGTTTTTCGACTTGGCTGATTGTTCACGGACGGTGTTTTTTTTATGCATGCAATCGCGTAATGGCGGTCGATGAAATTAAATCCTCACCGGTCGCGGCGAGTGCATTCTCTCACTCGGCTAACGAGCTTTCGCGCTCGTGTTTGTTCAGACAGTTTCATGCGTGCGGAATATGTCGGGCGCGAGCAGGCCGAGCGGGATGGAGAGCGCGAATGCGGCGAACGAAGCGGGAAAGAGCGTGCTGGCGCCACCCTTCTATTCTCATTATCGTGCACAGCCGTAGGGCGCCAAGAGGACGGGAACCCTTATGGCACTTTCTCTATTTACTGCCCCCGGACTCTCGCAGACTGTATACTAATATCGATTCGCACAGTCGCGTCAAATAGCGAGGATATAAGGTAATTGAACGAAATTAAGGGGTGGATAATCGAGCAGTGGAGCTTTGAGGAAATTACGCACGGAAATTTTCTCCGTCTCGACGCACACGCATGTAAATCACACGTTACACATCGACGTGTATGACATGTATTACTGTTTTTAATTCGACGAAATTAAAAGGTGTATAATTCGAATGAACTTTTTATACATACTCGAGAGAGAGAGAGAGAGAGAGATGCACGAGAGAGCGTCTAAGATTACACTCACGCAGGAATAAAAGCCTGCTTTTTCAGCTGCGCTTTCTACACTCGTTTTCTTTCTCCAAACCGTACGCTGAATTTATCGCCTGCAGAAAATATATTGCGATTCTTCTTTTTAGAACTTTTTATGCATGTATAATACATTCTGAAATTAAATAACTAACATAAATATCTTTTATTTTGGATTTTCACCTGTACACTGTTGCTTTTAGCTCTGAAATTTCAAACAGGTATTACCTTATATTTTCGCTTTAAAAATTATATATTTACACGTTCCAATCTTTGATAGAAATTTGTAAAATAAATTCTTTTTGCAATTTAAGATGAGTAAAACAAGTTATGCCATTTTGCGCGTGTAACGCCAGACGCGAGTCTAGCGTGAAGCGTGGAAAAGGAGGGAAACGATGGAAAAAGATTGTTCGCGGGGGAGGGGGGGGGGATAGTAGGAGGAGACGATGGCGCCGTGTTTCTTTTCTCATTATCGTAGCCGCAGGGTTCCGACACTCTGCAACGCCGTTAGTACGTTGACCTATTTTCCGCCCTCTAATCTCTCTTGTATCTTCGCATCGTCGATTATGTGACAATTTTAGCTGTACCTCAGAATTATTTTGAAACCTCAACTTAAAATATTCATCCGCTATGAGCAGGATTCTTTAAATGAACATGCTATACTTTTTTCATTTCTGGTTTTTTTATAGAATGTTAATTATTTCAAAAGAGTTGAATCGATATGACAGTCTCCATTACATTTACTTTTACATGATTAATTAATGCTTATGGAATCTGATGAGGAGATGAGGATTTATTTCGGGACCTGCAACTTTAGCGTTAAAGATAGCGCATACTAAAAACAATAACGCGGCATGATAATGACAATGTAATTTTAACCGCGGTAATCTACATCAGCGTCGCAATAATTTCCGCCCGGACTGAAAATATTACGCGTGATATATCGCGCGTGTGTAGAATGCAATTTGTTGTAAGTTGCAGTTTATTACAAGTTGTTGCAGAAGAATGCGCTTTGATTTCTTTTTATTATCGCGTGATACAAGAGCGGAGTTCGCCGTTCCCGAGTCCGTTTTGACATTTTCACCGGCTATCAGTAGGTGGCGTAGACTGAGTGGCAAAAGTGATCGAGTTGGTTCCGACACGAACGCACAGGCGACACGAGAAAAAGAAATTTTTCCTCCCGGCTCTTGGGTCAGGTTAGGAGTTTGTCGAATGGCCGGGCTTATCGGGAGCACGCATCGTCACGCTTCGGGCATAGCTTCGAAACTTT